CTACGGCTTGCTTTCATCAGAACATTCCAGAAGTCCTGCTGATCATATAGCACGCTACCTTTCCGGCATCTTTATAAATCCCGATCCATGATGTAATGCCTCCGGCATATCGCATAGCACGTTGTTCGTCGCGCGCGACACGCAATATCCAATGAGACTATACCTTTAGAATGAAAACATCGGTAAAAGCTGTACACTCAACAACGCGGAACGAGAGCGAAACCAATCACAAACGTTCTGCACCAATTACAGTTGGTGTGGAACACTTGTGATTGGTTCTGCCACCGACGAGATACTAAAGACCGACATCCTTACGGGAGTTCGCGTCCTTGAGAATATTGAAGTGATTAAGAGTTAAAAACTGATAATATTCTATTAATTTTATGATTTATTAGTTTAGTAGATGTATTTATGCATTTAGAACTCAATAATATTCGATTTTTCTTTAAAATTGTGGTTTCAGTATTATCGTCAAAGTTTGATTATTAACAGAGATGATAACAGCAGACAAAAAAATTGTAATTTTTCTACAATATATAGGATATTATAGCTTTACAAATATGCATATTTATGGAACATTTATATAATAAAAAATGAATTTAATAATGCATAAGCTAAATATTTATGTTAATAATAGCGAATGTATATCAATTGTTGATAATATTAACGTTCTTCAATTACCTTCGAACCCTCCGGGTCCTTTTTACCGCCGAAAATTTGCCCAGGGTTGATGATTTTTAATAATATCTCGTCGGTGGTTCTGCTCTTGTTCCGCATTAGGGGCTCCGCACAATAAAAGGAATAGGGAACAGAGAACAGAGAAAAGAATTTTAACCTATCAGAAATCATGTATTGTGGAATACGCAGTTTTTGATAGGTTGAAATTCTTAAGATTTAAATTCAATAGGCACAGGGAACAGGGAATAACAAGCTGTCCAATCAGAATTCTGGGATATAATATCGAATTTACACACCAGAGCTCTGATTGGACGGCTCGTTATTCACTGTTGCCAGTGCCTATTGTGTTTAAGCTTTTATTCTCTGTTCTCTGTTCCCTATTTCCTTTATTGTGTGGAGTCCTTACGCTATTCCGCTTGCACCCTTAGCATATTATGTTCAAATATTTATTAAAAAAATATTATAATATAAAAATTGATGAAATGTTTAATTATATAATATGGATATATAATGAATATATAATGTATGTATTATATATTCATTATATATCCATATTATATATTCGGCCGAGTAATGGACAATTAATGGACAAATTAAAAATTTGCCAGTAGAACAAATGCGACACGTTTGTAACCAATAAGATGTTAGCGCTCGAAGCACGATTCTCGAATTAACACTTTCGCAAGTTCGTGGCACAATCGGGCGAACTTCGCGCGGTATCTCCCGTCTGTGTCTTTTCCTGGACTTGACCTTCTTGTTAGATTGTAGTGACTAGTACTTTCAATGGTGTTTCGGTGTTAATTCAATTTTGAGCATTGCCTCCTCAGCAGAAAGGACGAACTAAAAGATGGCTGTGGCTGCTAGGTCATTTTCAAAATTCGCTGGTGGGTCTTCGCAGCGTATTCTCGTACGTCCCATAATGTCCTCGCGTTGCATCGTCTTCAATGTTCTCTTTGACTTTTGTACATTTTAACGACAATACTCTCGAGATTTTTTCTCCCTCTGATTACGCCATGCGCAGCCTATGAACAGACTAAAAATAATTCTGACAGCTCGCATTTATGATAACATTTTATTATATAAGGGAAGACATAATTACGACTGAATCGCGCCTTATCGGGAAATGCGTATTTTACTAATTAGGAACGACCTATAAACTCATATGCAAAGCAATTGGATGATTTGTTCTCACAGTAATGCTCTCGACCCTTCCCCTGTGATGATAACTCACACATAGCTAGAGTTAGCGATCCTCCTTTTCTTTCATATGCTTTAATTTTTTCTTTATTTTTCTCACAGAAAATTGCTTGTTTTATATAAATATCTTTTGTTTGTTATTTTATGTCAGTATAAATGTCAAATTACACTATTTATTGGATAATCTGTAAGCAAGTGAACTTTGACCTAGAAATTTTGTTGTCAAGACGCTAAAAGATAACACCTTTTTATTTTTAATTTGTATATAGTATTGTTAAATATATATTTTTGTACATGATTTTTTACTTTAATTTACATATTGATATTAAAATCTATATGATGTCATACTTATGACATTTTTAGTTAATAAATATATTCTAGTTATTCTTTCTTTTCATGTATTTTCATGTTATTGTATTGGATTTCAATATATATTTATTATAATGTTCTTATAATGTTTCAGTCAAGAACTGTGGAAATTTATTACGTTCTCAGGTGAGATTTAATTATACAGAAACTAGGAAGAATTTAAAAATCGATGCAAATACCAAAGTGATGTGTCAAGGTTTTACTGGAAAGCAAGGGACTTTCCATTGTCAGCAAGCACTTGATTATGGTACAAAGATAGTAGGTGGAGTTAGTCCTAAGAAGGCTGGAATAGAACATCTTGGTAAACCAGTATATAAAACTGTTAAGGAGGTAATATTACTCTTTTACAACATTTATTTATTTATCTGTTATGATATTTAAATTATCTGTGATATTTTATAGGCAAAAGAAGCAACTGCGGCTACTGCGACAGTCATTTATGTTCCTCCTCCTGCTGCAGCATCAGCTATTATGGAAGCAATTGATGCAGAAATGCCATTAATTGTTTGTATTACGGAAGGTATTCCTCAACATGATATGGTCAAAGTAAAAAGACGATTACTTGAACAAAATAAGTCACGTTTAATTGGCCCAAACTGCCCTGGAATAATAGCACCTGAACAGGTATAGAAATAATTTTAGACAAATTACCAAGGTTGAATAGTAACTATGAAATATATTAAAAGTTAATAACTTTTAACTTAGTTAATTTTAAATACATTAATTTTTAACTTAATTTAATTACTTTTAAACTTTAATTTATTAATTTTTTTAAATTAAATATTTTTCTATCTTTTTTAATGCTAATATTTTTTTTCTATAAAATCTTAAACATTAAACATTAAACAGAGAATCAATTTAGAAAAAGTTCAATAATTTTCAATGATGAGACTATAATAAAAGTCACACATCATATGATAGCCAATTTTTATTGACTCGATAGATTTTGTCAATTCTCGCTTATATTTGAATCACACTAATTTTAGGTATATCATAAACGTTATATTTCAGCAACATAAATATGAAATGAGCCTTAGATGAAGAATTGTTGTAGAACAGTGTTGCGTGCATCCACCCATTTTCTAAATTTTTATGTATATTTTTTGTAACGAATATCTAGTCGTAGTCGTAAACATGCATGAACAGTCGTTTCAGAAATTAAAGAAACTTAGATAAAGATTAAAGAAAGAGAAATAATGCAAACATATATCCTTCTCTCTTGCAAGATTTTGACAAAACACCTTATGGTGTGACTCTTATTATATATAAGTAATTTACATGTGGATGTAAAATTAAATTTGCCTAATCTATATTTGTAAAGGTTATTTAAAGTAATCTTATTTTAAGAAAAATTAGAACATTCTGATCTCAAAAATAATTTTTTTCAAAATTAACTTTTTTTAACTTAAGCTAATTTAACCTTAATTTAACTTTTATTAATTCTTTATTCCTTCAACTTTCAATTTAATTTTACAAGCCATTAACTTTAATTATATTATAACTTAATTTAAAAAAAAACTTACCAACCCTGCAAATTATAAATTTATTGATGAATGAAATACAATTCTTTCTTTCTTATGTGATATTTTGTATAGTGTAAAATTGGTATTATGCCTGGTCATATACATCAAAAAGGAAAGATTGGTATTGTTTCGAGATCTGGAACCCTAACTTACGAGGCTGTGAATCAAACTACACTTGTAAGCACATTTAAAATATTGTAAACTACTCTACTTAAAGTCTACTTAAAAAATTGTATGTTTATAAAATGTTAAATATGTTAATATTTTCTTTGAAGACGGGACTTGGGCAAACACTATGTGTTGGTATTGGTGGTGATCCATTCAATGGTACTGATTTCATCGATTGTTTAGATGTATTTCTTACCGATCCAGATTGCTGTGGTATTATAATGATAGGAGAGATCGGTGGCAGTGCAGAGGAATTTGCAGCAGAGTATCTCATCGAAAAGAATACTGTTGGTTCTTGTTCAAAATTATTGATACTCAAATCCCACATATACAGTTTAACCTAATCTAATCCTATCTTACCTTCGTCTTAGAAATTCTATCATAGGATTAATATGTTATATTTTACTCACTAAGTACATATTATATTATAGGGTCCAACAGCTAAGCCAGTGGTATCGTTTATCGCTGGTCTTACAGCACCACCTGGACGAAGAATGGGACATGCTGGTGCTATAATCTCAGGAGGAAAGGGTGGCGCACAAGATAAAATTGATGCACTCGAAAAAGTGAGTTAAAATTTCTGTTCATAAAGTGTAATATTAACAATATATGAGCGCACACACACACATACCATTTATGTTCATATATTGTTAATATTATACTTTAAATAATTTTTGGAATTAAGTAATATATACATGGATTCTGTTATCAGGCTGGTGTAATAGTAACAAGGAGTCCTGCACAAATGGGTAATGAACTTCTAAAAGAAATGACACGGCTTGGCTTAATTAATTAAATCACACACTACTATAATTCTGTGTAGTTTCCTTCATATCCGTGTAAAATGTCTTCGTGAAAAATAAATTGAAAGTATACCATACAGCAATAACTCACAGAACATAGTAGTGTATTAGAGTATAAAAAATTATTTCACTTGCTAATATTGCATTAATTATTCTCAATGACATAGAACATTGATTAATGCTGAAAATTACATTGAAAATAATGATATTTTTTAAAGAACTGGACTTTATTTTAACAATGAACAACTTTTATGATATTTTTACAGAATTAATTATTATATTAACGGTAAACAAAACAATTGTCCAATAATAATTTACAAATTATCTAAGGGAACGTTAAAACTGCCAATGATCTGTCGCAATTTAACTAAGAGTTATTTTGTCTATAATATGTAAACATAGTTCTGAGAAACGATTGTTTAAATATATAATGTATTATTATTGTAAATTAAATCAAGCATATAATATACAATAATGAATTTAAACTTTATGAAATATGTATCCTTATTGTAAAACATGTTAAGAATTCAAATATATATATAAATATTGCTGCTTGTTCCCATAATTATTTGACCTTTTTTTTAACATAAAGCAGTCTCTTCCTATATTCAATGAAAGACAAAATAGTCTCAACACTGTCACCTAAATCCCATTACTTTATCAATAAAATTAGCAATATCTACACTATTGTCATTGGTGAACGGCTTTAACTTTGCAAAATCCATTGTTTGTATGATGTGCAATAAATTCTTACAAGTACAATAATACAAATGTTCGTCTTTGTACAGCTGCTCAGCCAGTTCAATCTGATGATTGTCCATAAGGAGATCATTGGTCACCACAATTAAATGTTTCCGTCTTTCTAAAGCTTCCAGCACGCTTCCTGCACCTGCATGGCTTATCACAAGGTCTGTCAGTTGCAGATATTCTCCAATGGATGGACTTATTCTAAAAATTTCTATTTTATGGAAGCCATAACGTGCAGTACAATCTGGTTCTAATTTGCTATTGCCAATTTGTAAGATTAGATGCCCATAATTACGTGCTGATAAGGCCTAGAATAGCAATATTAATTGTAAGCTCTCTAACAGATATACAAATGTAATGAAGAACAGATGATCAAATACTACAGTATGTAAAAAAAAGATCAATGTAAATAATAATGATAGAATAGGTTTATTCACATTGCTTAAAATTCTTAAAAAATTTTGCATTTAAAATGAGATAAATATATATTCGGGCGTTCAAGAGATAGAAAACGAAGATTCTGAATGCACAAAGTGCAAGCAATGCGAACAGACCTAATGTAAATATTATCTATATTACCTCCAGAACTGCACGACTCAATACTGTAGTTATCAAATCATCAAATTTTGTTGTGCCAACTGTAACAAATACAGTTTTTTTATCCGACATAGTGTGTAATGTCATGTAATGTAGTTTCTTGTAAATAATGGCTATTATTTATCCCTTATCTTTCCACTTTGATAATTATTAAAAATACTCTTCTCACCTTCAATCTTAATAAAAATGTACTCATTCGAAATGTTTTCACTCAAAATGAAAGATTTCGACAAAAACAATTCGCGACGACATGCCTCGCGAAATAAGTTATTAACTGTTAAAGGTTAAAGTTCGAGAGAGGTTAAGATATTTGTCATAATGGACGCATTCAAGTCGGCAAAGCGGCTAGCTTATTCGTCAAGCAAATGAATATGATTGATTGTTACTTATAGAACCAACCAATTATATTTAATCAAAGATGCGTTCCATTTCACGCTGATACATCATTTACTACATTTATACGGCACGCTTTACGCCGAAGTCACAACATCGATGTTATGAAATTGGCCAATCACAATCATTCTTCAGAGGAATAATGACAAAATGCAAAAATGATGATTCCAGTCAGAATCGTAAATAAATCAGATATATAATGAAATCAGATTATAATGATACAATCAAGACAAATAAAGCTTTAGCCAATCCGATATTTTAATTTTAAACACAAATAAAAAATAGAATAAAAAAACGGGCAATTAAGAGCATTAATATGAGGTAATTGGTGCGAATATCACAAATACATATATTTCGATCGTATCTACTGATCTATTACATAAAATATCAAACTGAACGTTCGGCTGTATTCAAGTCATCTTCAGCAGTCCCCAATCATAGTAATAATTGTTCATAATCTAATGTTCGTAACATAGTAGAAATCGAGTGCAGCAAGTAAGTCTCAACAGATTCCCATGTCTGGAGTGTATGTAACCGTCAGTTAGTTGATTAGCTAAGTGCGAGCTAAATCAGAAATAATCATTAAAACGATCAGTTACTAAAAAAGAAGGATAACAAAACTTTAAAGAGACCTACTGCAAACCATAACTACACAATATTATAAATTAAATAAATTGAAATTACAAAAACAGATAAAATTAAATTAAATTTCTTAAAAGAAACATAACATTCGTAGTGTCAAAGCAGAGTCAACTAATGTAAGAGAACATTAAGAAATAAATAAGATAATTCTAAGAGAGGAAACAACATTATCCAAAGTTATATTATAGGATTGAAAAACAATATAGATAGCTACTTAAGTATAGATACCCAATCAAAAAAATTATTAAAATTTATTAATTATACAATATTATAACCCGAAACGTTCAGTTTTTTAGCCAATATGAAGCCATATGAATTTTGATTTCAAAATGCAAGTTTCAGATTGGTTGTCACAACAAAGTTGCGATCAGCTTGTAACTAATGTAGAATCGACTTATTGGATCGCAACGCTTGCGACACTGCGATGCAATTAATGTAGAATCAGGGTATCAATTATGAAACTTTTTTCCTAGGATGAAAAGTGAAAAATTTTTCTATTTTAACTTCGATGGTTAAAATATTCACTTTTCACTTTCCATCCTAGGGATAAAGTTACATGATTAATACCCAAATTAACGGAATTTTAGAATTCAGAGTTGGCAACACTGTCCAGGACTCGGACTCTACATTCGAATGAACATCATACAAGTTGTAAGTCGATGGCGTCAGTGCTGATTTTAATACGTCTGTTGAAATTCGGTTAAGGTGCGATCAGGTACGATCGACGAGTTGAGACGTGATCTTTCTCGATAATCATTGTAAAGTGTTTACGAAAAATAATTGCAAAATACCGTAAGAATGAAGGCATCGCTGGATTCAATATACGTACAGGTATAACATGTTGTTTTGTAGTAATAAGAATTGCACGCGTGATTTAAATAGATCGTCAGTACAACCGGCGAACAAGTTGTATTAAAAATCGTCTTTCGAAGCTACACAATCACTTAAAAAGTTTATTTTAAGTCTTTTTACTCGATTCTTCACGGGACTCCTCTCGTTTCGATAATTCTATGAAGATTCGACAGATATGGTCTTGCATGTAATGTTGACCTTTAAAGTATTTGTATGATACTGTAAATCAATTAAATTATATATATATATATATATGTTCGTGCATCAATTTGTTTGACATCTCTCTTTTATATGGTATAAAAGAAGTTTTTAAACAAACTGAACAATTTTTTGCGTTAAATTCTATGATATTTTTGTTTTTATATAAAATAGCTCTCAACACAAGAACAAGTATTCTTTAAATTTTATAATTTATATTTATACATGAAATTATGCCAAATTGTGTTTGAACAATAGTTTTTTAACTTATCAAATAAATTGTATTTAACATATATTTAAAAAATATTTAATTTGCATGTTATAAAATCTTTGGAAGAAGTAGTAAAATAGTATAAATATTCAATGCATTTATACTAACTATTCTTAATTTATGTATAATTTTGAACATTTGTTTATTGACTTATTCTTGTTTAAAAACTATTGATCAGATACAATTTTGCCAAAGAAAAAGCATTGCTTCTTCTGATATAAAAGAATTAAATTAAGTTTTTTGATATTTGATTTGATATTTATTATTGCTCCTACTTTCAGGAATTTTTATTTAAACAATCAAATACGTTTCAAGTATTTGACTTGAAGACTCCTGCATATACTCCTGCTGCTTGCAATCTTCTTGTGGCTGACAAGAAACGAGGACTACTTTACATAGGACATGATGATAAAGTTACTGTCTTAAAGCCAGCAGAAGAAAACAGTGCAGAATGGAAGATAGAACTTCAATTACCAGGCGTTATATCAAAGATTGCAATTAATTGTGATTATAATTATATTGCTATAGGCATAGCATTGAAGCCTACAATATTGATATATGATGCCCATTCACTAGCTAGAAATGTATGCACGTAGCATATTTTTGCAGAAGTCTTAAAAACACATCTCGAAGTTTTAACCAGTACTATAGAAATCCAGAAGTTATATATTTATTATTAATTAATGCATTAATTTTTAGAGTCTCAACCTGCTGCTTGAAATAACACCATCGAACAAGCTAGACAGCTACATAACAGACATACGATGGAATCCCACCGTACCTGCGATGCTTTGCACCGTTACTAGTGACTGTACTATTGGTAGCTTTCAACTGAAGATAGAAGAAGAAAATCGTGTACCAAAAATATCTGTACTTTCCAAAGTGTCGAACGAGCCACAGGCTTTATGTGCAGCCTGGAGTCCAAAAGGCAAACAAATAGCAGTGGGCTGCAAGAATGGAGACATTGTACAACTAAAGCCAGATACTTTGAAGATTGCTAGAACTATCACAGGTCCTTCACCATCTATGGGAGAAGTGATTAACATCCTATGGCTCAGCAATTATCAATTTTGTGCCGCATATCTGAACAACGAGCGGCATATAAATGTTCTCATCGTTGACGCACCGAAAGGAGAAACAAATGCTATTTTTACATGTTATGAAGATATTACATATGGTTTTCCCGAAGCTGAAGGAGAGGACAGCGTTCCACGCTATTATTTTGAACATGTACCGGAATGGGGACTTATCATAGCGGGTAGTAGCACCAGCAGTGAAATAGCTGTACTAGGTACTACAGATGGTGGCGCGAATTGGAATCAATGGCAATTAGTCGACAGTGGTAGGGCTCAATTGCCGCTGATGAGAACTACGGAAATTTATCCCTTGGGTCTGGCCGTGGACAAATCTCCAACTACCAAGTTACTATGGGGCACGGATTCGACATTGCCATATCCAGTTCCCGTTTTACACATTCTTGGAACGTCCGGGAAATTATGCAGCTTCCACATGGTTAATCTAGCATCCAACTGCCCTGCCATTAATGTCCCTCCTACGGAAATTATCACGCCTCCAGCACCGTTACAGTCTAATACTTCATCTATAGAAATATCATTTGCTATGAATGCTGCGATTACTAGCACACCTCGTTCGAAACAACTGGAGGTGGCGCCGGAACGCTCAAAGCCTGCTCAAATAACAAATATATTTGGCGACTCTCTGAAGGCGGCGGGATTCTTTCAACCACCTGTGGAGCAACCAACGGAACAGCCGAAACCGCAAGAAGAAAAAGCTGTGCCGCAGATGATTGTAAAATCAATTATGCCTAAGGAACAACCAGTGTCAGAACCTATAAAGACGGAAACCAAGTCGGTTGTAGACAAAGAAACAACCTTGCCACAAGTAGCGGAACAAAAAGCTTGTATAGACGATAACATACGAATGCAAGCTTATATACAGGAGCAGGCATTATTTGAGAAAGAACTGCGAAGTAGGCTGGAACCACAGGTGTGGGAATGCGGTACAGACTTAGAAAAGAAACAGCTTGGAGAGATGTCCGTCGTCATAGAACAATTCGTGAGAGATTTAAAAGACACGACGAACAGTCTGTCCAGCGATATAGCGTATTTAAAGGCTTTGTTGCTTCAGTCATTTGCATGGGTTGAAGAAACTAAATCGAAGAACGCAGCCAGTGTTGATATCACTACTAGAAACTGTAGCGAAAACAGCAAAATAGCAGATCTGCAACGATGGTACTATTACACGCAAACGCAACTGAATCAAGTTAGTAAAATCTTGGATCTAGAATGGTCAGACCACAAGGCGCATGTAAAGTCGAAGATGAACATTCCCAACTTGGAGTACGTGTATCAGAATCTTTTAATGCATAATAAGATTATCGCAAAAGAAAAAGAGAAGATTGAGCAAATTTCGCGACGATGGAAGTCTCTCAATCGCTCATTGGCAGCTAGTGGTGTGTCCAATCTTAATCGCTCAATGGCGAGTCTGCATGTGAGTTCACCAAAATCGCCAGCTTCGATTATTCGAGGAAAAACCGATGTTATAGATGCCCGTTGCAAAACCATCGCTTCGAAAACTCTGAGTTTTACACATGAAAAGCAGCTCAAGTTAAGGGCATTGCTCAACGAATCATCTCCAAGAATTATTAAGCCAGTCAATCCATCACCAATTCAGGATCGTTTGAAGGCTACGTTGTCTTCCCTGGCGTCTCTCAGTCCTGTGATCAATGAGACTAAGACCAAACCCGAGCCGCCGATTGTTAAACAGAATATCACTGTCAAACAGCCGATCGAGAAGCAGTCGAAATCACAGAGTCCCCTCGCTTCGTTGAATAGTATCGTTGCGAGAATCGGTTCATCCGACACGAATGGCGTCCTTGCGCAAAACAAAGCGCAACAAAAGCTACTTCCAACGACCGTTTCTTTTTCTGGTGCGGTTATTTCTACCAAGCAAATGGACAAAAAGCCCGCAATGCCAACAGCTCTCGCAGTGTCCCAATCTAAACCGAAACAGGATCTGAACGTTAACTTTCCAACATCTATTACGTTTGGAACGTCGACGCCGAAATCTCAAGATAGTTTCTTTTCGAAATCTCTCATAGATGCAACTGTTAGGAACAATAAGGAATTGGCGAGCAGTGATAGCAT